AATATTTATTATTTCTTTTCTCCTGGCATTTTTTGGATATTTTGTTGTTATTTTTCCAGTTACCTGAGGCATGATGTTAGGTTATCCTTTGCCACCTTTCCATCTTTTTCTTGTGCGCACTAATTGCTATGAACTTCCCTCTTATGACTGCTTTTGCAGTATCCTGTAGATTATGGAAACTTGTGTACTCGTTATCATTAGTTTCCATGAATCTTTTTATTTCCATCTTAATCTCTGCAGGAGTCATGGAGACATTCAGAAGTAGGTTATTTGGTTCCTATGTATTTGTATATTTTCAAGGGCTTTTCCTGAGATTAGTAACAAGTTTAATTCCATCATGGTCAGAGAAGATGCTGGATATAGTTTCTATGCCTTTGAATCTGTAAAGGTTGGTTTTGTGCCCTATCATGTGATCAATCTTTGAGAAAGTACCATGCGGGCCTGAGAAAAATTTATATTTTGTGTTTTTTGGGTGGAAAGTTCCATAGATGTTTATTAAATCCATCTGATTTATGGTATCATTTAGGTCTTGAATCTCTTTGCTTATTTTTTGTCTCATTGACCTGTCTAAAGAAGATAAAGGGGTATTTGTATATTTGAAATCTCCAACAATTATAGTGTTACAGTCTATCTCTCCTTTTAAATCTAGCAGTCTTTCCTTTACATATTTGGGGGCTCCTAAGTTCAGTGCATAGATATTTGTAAGTGTCATATCTTCTTGGTGAATTAGCTCTTTTATTACTATATAGGGCCCTTCTTTGTTCTTTCTTACAGTTTTTGTCTTAAAGTCTATTTTGTCCAAAATCAGTATAGTGACCCCTACTCTTTTTTGGTTTCCATTTGCATGGAGTACTTTGTTCCAGCCCTTCACTTACAGTCTATGTATGTCTTTATCCATGAGATAGGTTTCTTGTAGGCAGCAGATGGAGGGTTTCTGATTTTTAATCCATTCAGCCAGTCTGTGTCTCTTGATTGAAGAATTTAATCCATTGACATTCAATGTTATTATCGATCTTTCCAGACTTGTCCCTACCATTAAGTTGGCCATATTCCTGGTTGTTTTTTGTTCTCTTATTGCTGTCTGTCTCTAGTTTTCTTGGTATAGAACTCCTTTCAGAATTTCTTGAAGCGCTGGTCTGGAGTTGGTAAATTCTATCAGGTTTTGTTTAGCCCAGAACGTTTTTATTTTCTTTTCCCATATGCAGGATAATCTTGCAGGGTATAGTATTCTTGGTTGAAATTGTTTTTCATTTAACACTTTGAATATATTTCCCCATTGTTGCCTTGCTTTCATTTTTTTCCGATGAGAGGTCTGTTGTTAGCCTGATGGGATAGCCTTTGTACGTGATTTGACGTTTCTCTCTTGCCAATCTTAGTATCTTGTCTTTGTCTTAGTATAGGCATGTTTTTCAAGCTGCTGAGTCCAGGTCTTGAACCACTCAGTTAACCATGTGAGATCCAATCACCTTAACCTTGTGCCGCTTCCTGGCCCCACCTCCGGCATTCTTCCTGGGCATGTCCACACCTACCCTTGCCTTCTTTTGCATATGTTTTTCCATGTTGTGTTACCACATTTCCCCATTCTTTCCAACCTCCCAACACCATGTCCACCCAATGCACTGTCCTTGCTTCCTTTCCCATCTCACAGCCCCTGTCTCTGTTGCCAGGTGGAGTATCCCTACGGAGAGCTCATCATCTCCCTGGGCTTCTTCCTTGTCTTCCTTTTGGAGTCACTGGCATTGCAGTGCTGTCCGGGAGCTGCTGGAGGATCAACAGTACAGGAGGAGGAAATGGGTGACGCGCATGTCCTTAAACTGCACAGCCATGGGCCTCTGCCCTCATCATCACGGGGTTCCCTCCGAGCCCTTGTGCTCTTACTCTCACTCTCCTTCCACTCAGTGTTCGAAGGTCTAGCTGTGGGGCTGCAGCCAACAGTAGCCATGACGGTGCAGCTCTGCCTTGCTGTCCTGGCTCATAAAGGGCTGGTGGTGTTCGGTGTAGGACTGCGGCTGGTGCAGATGGGCACTAGATCCGGATGGGTTGTGATCTCCATTCTGTCATTAGCGGTCATGTCCCCCCTGGGGTTAGGCCTAGGGATGGCTGTCGCTGGAGGGCACTCTGAAGTGGGGTGGGGCTTAGCCCAGGCAGTGCTGGAGGGTGTGGCAGCTGGCACCTTCCTCTATGTCACCTTCCTAGAAATTCTGCCCTGGGAGCTAGCTAGTCCTGAGTCCCCTCTAGCTAAGTGGGGGTGTGTAGCTGCTGGTTTTGCCTTCATGGCCTTCATTGCCTTGTGGGCCTGAAAGATTCCTGACTCTTCCGCTGGACTTTTTTACGTGAGATCCCATTTCTCACCAGGACTGAGAAAAGGAAGTTTAGTTTGAGTGCCTATTAATTGGAAAGTCAGTATAAAGACCATCACTCTGTGGGGCCCAACAGTGGCTCAGCACTGAAACGCCACCTCTGCAAGGCTGACTCACATGGGAAGGTTCTGGGTGAATGCCTCCCTGAGCTTGCTAGGCACACTCATGTGCATGATGTAGAGCTGGTTGAGCTGAATAGCAGACAGTGGTGGCTAGTTGTGTCAACACCCTATTGTGGGTATTTCTCTCTCCTCTCTCTCTCTCTCTCTCTCTCATCTCTCTCTTTATGGAAGAAATAGTGGGTTGTTAATGTCTATGCATTTTTTTTGCATAGAAAAACAGAAGAATACAGCCTGACTTTTCCGATGACCCAATATATAAAGAAACTTTAAAAACTGTAGGGTTCAGGGAGCTGGCAGGTGGCATGGTGATTGAGGTATTGGATTCCTACATGGCTGATCACAGTTCAAGTCCCGGACCTGGAAGCTTGCTTTCCCACTTTCCATTTATCTTTCTCTAGCCAAATTTAAAAATAAGAAAATAAGTAAAATAAAACAAATAATTCTTTAAAAAAAAATACTGTAAGTCCAGATTTGATTCTTGTCCCATCGATGCTACTATGGGTAATCAAATGTCCATTTTAAGTCTCCCTCTTTATCCATATTTTACTTAATTGCTACTGGTTGCCTAGAAGGTGCCTGGTACAGGAAGTGGTAGGATGGAAATGATGAGTGTTGAACTCAGTGTTTTTCCTATAATCAAAGCCTGTAGCCATTCTGTCAGTTGCAGGCCATGCCCCCAGACATAGGAGCATTGTTGAAATTCCAATGACCCCCTACTTGCTGACTCACGAGAGTTGAGAAAATGAGCCAGAGTTCCCAACACTTAGAGGGAAGGAAGTTTGAAAACAGAAACCAGGAGCCAGCTCCATAGCATAACAATTAAGCCTTGTGTAGAAGAATCTGGATTCCACATCGTTGACCAGAGCTCAAGTCCCAGCCCTGGTGGCTTGAAACATACACAGAAATGTTGATGCCCAGAATCCTGATGAGATGGAGAACTGGAGGTCCCTTTCCCATAGTGGGGTGTTCTCTCTCTCTCTTCCCATTGTGCACATGTACACTCATTCTGGCAGAAAGAAAGAAGGGAAAAAGAGAAGAGAGAGAGGAAAGAAGAAAGGAAGGAAAGGGAGACTAATTTACTTTTCCCCCTGTAATGACCGTACCCACCTACTCCTAGTACCTTTTGTCAACCACTCATGGTTTGCCCAAGATAGCCTCAATGAAGCCCATTTCCATCAGATTCCTCGTGTAACCTTAGGGATGCTATTGCTCTTCTTTGAACCTTTGTCTATTCCTAGTCGTCTTGAGCTGAGGGATTAAATGGCAGTGTGCTTGGAGAGGGAGAAAGGCACTAGATAAATGCCTAGGATGATTACTTGGTTCTGTCATGACTTAATAATAATGTCTTCCTTTCTGCCTGTTCCTCCCAATTGTCTTTCAGTTTGAGTTCCCCTACAATATGTTGCTTCTCTTAAAAACTGAAAAAGAGGGACCAGCAGTTAGCGTAATGGCTATGTCGCTGGACTCCCATGTAGTCGACCGCGGTTCGCATCCCAGACCCGGTGGGTTAAAACTCACACCGGGCGTGTGTGTGCGTGCCTAAGATCCTGAGAGGAGAATGGAGGAGAAGAGATTGCGGGGTGGCCATCCTCCCTGGGGAGGGGGATGATTTCTCGCTTTCTGTCTCTCTGTCTCTCTCTGTCTTCCTGGCAAGCGCACGCACTCTATGGCAAAAACCTCTCCCCCCCCAAAAAAAACTGAAAAAGATAAATGCAAAAGCAGGTTATCTGAAACTGAAATGGCACAGAATGACTGTTGTTATCCAGCCCCTAGCCCATGGGAGAGGAGTATCTCAGACTTAGCGGAGGAGTATCTCAGACTTAGCGGAGGAATGGGACAAGAGATAGCACCTGTGAACTCAGTCTCTCACCAGTTACCCCTTCTAATATTTTTCTCTGTGGAGTCCTAAGTCGTCTTAACATGAACAAGGTCATCTCCTGAGCCTCGTTCCTGTCTAAGTCTTTGTCTCCTATCTAACCTGTCCCTCACAAAGTAAGAAATACAAGTCTCCTCAGAAGCGCAGTTTAAGTCACTCAAAGATTCAGTCCCAAGAAATACAGAGAAATCACCCTGGGGGGTGATTTCTCACTTTCTGTCTCTATGTCTCTCTCTTTCTGTCTGACAAGCGCACGCACCCTATAGCGAAAACCTCTCAAAAAAAAAATTATGTATTGCTGCTTTTCTTCTAAGCTTTGAAATTACCAGCTGAACTTGCTATTGAAAGTAGTTAGATTACTTATGATATTGTGTGATCAACAAAATGTTGGGGGAAAAGAAATGGAAGACAACTGTATATAGCAGAGATAGTGTAATAAGAGAGTAGGAAAGGGCAGAGGGTCAAACATGGGGCAAAAAACATATATATACATATATATGTATATATATATATGAAAGTAGAAATGGAATATTATTGATGATAACATGCATGATTAAGCCACTATGCAGTTTATTCTAGATGGGAAACCACATTTAGTATGTTGTGATGATGCTCAGGGAATGAATGTTAAGTAATTAAAAAAAATTTTTTTTCAGGAGGCAAAAAAAGCAGTAAAACTGTTCTTATCGAAATTTTTAAAAATGCATATTTGATGGCTGCAGTAAGCTATATAGCCCCAGCTAGGTACTACTTTATATATAGTGTGTTCATTCTACTCACTGAGGTTTATGCCTAAAGTCAGACTTCGGTTCATGTATAGGTATATATCAGCTGTGCTTGTTATTGGAAATATTTAGACTAAGTTCATTAGCAAATCAATTAAATGAGGGGAGGGGAAAGGCATAGAAAGCAACCATGGATACCAGAGACAATGTGGGAGGAGGATGGGACATGGCAGAGGGTGAGGGATAGGGAATCAAGGATGGCAAAATACAAACAAACAAAAAAACCAGTATACAAGACATAAGAAATGGAAAATTATTTGCTGATAACATGTATGTTGATGTGCTTGATTGAGCCAATAGACAGTGTATTTTGGATGGAAAATTCATTTGTATGCTGTAATGATGTATAGTGAATTATGTAAAAAGTAAATAAATTTAAAGAAAAAAAATTAAATAAATATTAAAAAAAAAAAAAAGAAGCACAGTTTATACACTCAGAACAGGGAGAAGACAAATGTGGTCAGATGGATGATTAGATAGATAGAGTCTAAACCAGGAAAATAATGTCCCTATTACTAAAGTAACACGTAACCAACTCAGCATCGTGCCAGTGTGTAGTCATAGTTTCTACACTGAGTACCTACTATGTGCTATGCTGCACTATTGCTTTCTCATACGTCATCCCATTTTCACAACCCTAACAGGTAATTTTTATTTTGTTTTGTTTTGTTTTGTTTTAGTTTTACACAGAGTGCATGCATCCACTGAGGCGGGAGAGGCGGGGGAGAGAGCACTCACTCGCAAGGGAAGAATGGCCCTGTCGCATTCCCTTCTCCATTCTCCTGTTGGGATTTTTGAGCACACACATGTGTCCAGTGTGATTTTCAAGTTACTGGGCCTGAGACTAGAAACACAGTGTTAGCCACGTGGGCCCCAGCTGCCTTAACCTCTGTGCCACCTGCAGGTCCACCAATAGGTAGATATTATCCCCACAGCAAATTATTTAGAAAAGTTGAATAATTGAATCACACAGCTAGTTGGAGTTCAAACTCATATTTCTGTGATTCTAAGAAAAGCTCAATAGGTAGATTCTCTTACCCTTCTTTAACCTTTACCTTACCACTCCCTCCCACCTCCCCATCTGATATGTTTAGGATCCCAGAAGAAAGCAAATACTACATTGGATAACTGAGGCAAGTTTAATAAAGGCAGTATTTACTTAGCAAGGTGTGAGCAGGATTAAGATGAAACAACAAAGTGCCATGAGGCTGGGTGATGACAATGCTGTTACCAGGAACTAGAGAGTGATCCAGCAAGAGTGGTGGCCTTTGGTAGAGGAATGCAGCCAGTCCACAGGGATCCAACAGGAAGGGGCTGGGGAATAACCTCACTGTCTTTGTGCTTTGATCTACTGCCAATGTCTTTTACTGGGCAAACCAAAACAGAAGCCAGAGGACAAAACTGTCTGTTGGTGCATTGCAAACAGGTTAGCTTTATGGGGCACAGAGTATATTAAAGAGATCTTAGAGGGGGAAATAGAAGCTACTCCACATACCAACCATTTTCTGCCACTTTCAACCTAAATGATCTTGTCTGGACTTTGGAAGGGATGAGTTGAAAAGGACAAGATTATATAAAAATTTGGGACCAGCAGGTGGAATGGTGGTAGGGATGCTGGACTCCTACATGGCCAACTGTGGTTCGGGTCCTGGACCTGGTGGCTTGCTTTCTTGCTTTCCCTTTCTTGCTCTGTCTCTCTCCGGTCAAATTAAAAAATAATAATAATAACAAATGGAATTAATTAAATAATTATTTAAAAAATGATTATATGAAAGTTGAAGAAGTATGTTTTGTACAGAACGTTTCTATCCTATAGAAAGGAGGACCAGCTGGCCTCATAGCACAGTGGTTAAGTGCCATGTGCAGAAAGCCAGATGTCACATGGCTAATTCCGGTTCAAATCTCAGCCCTGTAAAACATGCAGGGTACAGGTGTGTGTATGCCCCAAATCCTGATGGGACATATAAATGGCAAAAGGGATGGCAACAGGACCACACCACACTAGGGGTGCTTTCTGTCTTTCTCTGACACACCTGCACCCCCTCGCAATAATAAAAAAGAATGGAGACAAAGGAGTACATTAGACTCTTCACATACGTGTGGCTCCTCACCGTATTTCTGGGTCACTGATGCTATCAGTGCTTGAGGTGAATGAGGCCAAGGGTGGGA